TCTCAAAAGGCTAATTGAAAAAGTTGCTTTAAGCAGCTTTTTGAATTTTAACATTTTGAAGTTACAAAAAGCTAATTAGCCGTTTCTCATCCCTCTCCACCGCTACCGGTCGTTACTCCCTTATTTTTGTACTGTTGTTTCCTTTTGCTTTGTTTTATTGGTTTAATTTTGTTTGCAGTTTCTGTGTTTTTCCTCTCGTTGTTTTGACGAGTTTCTTCATCTCGTTTACTTGGTGAGTTCTTTTTCATAAAGCGTGAAACGATAAAACTGGCATGGTCATTGCGTATGGGAATCTCATCCTGGGTAACAAACATGATAATGAAAAAGACTCTTCTGAACTATGATATGCAGTTAATTAAGCCCGATGGAGATATAGTCAATGGATAGAAGAATGGAAATAGATACTCAGGTGGTGTGCAAGACTATTTAACCAATATTAGTCTTGGGTACGTCTGACAAAATCTTTAAAGAAGCTTTAAGTTCCTCCAAAGAATTCAGCTTCAAATTTGTGAAACTGTCTGCGAATTAAGTTTTCTGTAGCATTGCTAGGGAAATTGTTTCTATGTCTGACGGTAATAATGTTCCATAGATTGTTATTGTAATCGTTTCAGCCTATGATTAATGAATTAGCTTCTTTGTTTAAAAAAAAAAATAAAAAATAATTAACTAAACACTTATATTAATTTTTTAACCAAATCAAAAAGATAATAGTGATCAAATAAGTCAAAATTGACCTATAGACTAACTATTTTACCAAACAGGGCCAAAATTAGCCAAAATAGGTTTTTTTTTTTTTTAGTAATAAATTTAATGTTGTTGTTGTTATTATTATTACTAGTAATTGTCCCATGCGATGCATGAAAAATAATAAGATCATAATCTTTTTAAAAAGGTTAATTAAAATAGTTATATAAATAAAACACAAATGTATAAGTGTTTTATTATTGAGAGGTAAATGTATAACTGTTAATATATACAATAGCAATATTAGCCATGGAATTATTATTATTATTATTATTATTATTATTATTATTATTATTATTTTGGAAAATAAAGAGCTAGTTCATTAATCATAAGTTGAAACAGTTACAATAAAGATGATAGAATGATAAGACTTTCTTTACAGTCAGACATAGAAACAACTTTTCTAGCCATGCTAAAAGAAACTTGAATCGCAAACTGTGTTACAAGATTGAAGCTGAATTCATTGGAGGAACCTGAAGCTTCTTTGATGTTAATGAGCTGGCTATCCAAGACTGACTCTGTTTGAGAAGTCTTGCATACCACCTGAGTAACTATTGCAGCTATTCTGTCCATAGACGATATCTTCATTAACCTGAACTGCATATCATGGTTCTAATCTTCTTTGTTGCTTAGGATGATATAAACATAAGCCATGATCAATATAATTAAAACGTTTCACCTTACTGAAAAAAAGAACTCGCCAAAGAAAACGAGAGAGAATAACTTGCCAAAGAAGCGGGGGGGAAATAACTTGTCAAAATAACTGATGGAAAAGTGAAAAATACAGATCTTTAGATAAAAAACATAACGACACGCCTTCTTATGTCAAGAAAACACCACAGCTTCTTGTCCTTGATCAAAACACAAAACTTCTTGTCCTTTTTCAGAACTCAAAGCCTTCCTTACCTAGATTCAAGAAAGAAACACGGACACAAAGCCATCTTTTCCCTTTTTTGTTGAAAAATAAGTGTTGACAATGGTACGGGGCTTCTTGATTAGATCTGGTGGTGGAAGTTGAGAAACTAAAAAACAAAATACAAAGGAACTACGGAAATATGAAACCGCTGGCCAAGAATAGAGTCGGCCAGAGGCCGACGGTCACACTACGAAGGAACGGTGAGTTTTGGGAGGGCAGAGAGGCAGAGAGGTTTTTTTTTTTTTTTTTTTTTTTTTTTTTTACAGTTGACGGTGGTTTGGAGAGTTAGTAGCATTAAATATGGAAATATTAATTACTCACTTACTACTCAATTTAATGGAGTTAGTAGCATTAAAAAAAATTACTCAATTTAATATATAAATTGTTGAAACTATATAATATTTGGTATACTGAAAAAAAAAAAAAAAAGAGGCTTTAAAGCCCAGATAAAGACAACCCAAACTTACAGCCCAAATACAACCAGCCCATCCGACCTAGATACAAATATCAACCCTAAACCTTAAGGCTAACATTATCCCTGCAAATCCCTCCCACTCTAAAAAATAGGTCCCATTTTCACATCGTCTAATTTACAAATCATCTACTATTCACACTACATCCCTACAAATCTAATCAACTTTCAAAAGTGGGTCCATCATATTAATATAATATTATTAATTATAATAAAATATTAAAAAGTAAAGAAAACAAAATAAATAAAAAGTACAAAAGCTGCCAAAAGCAAAATACTTAGTGTACTCCTATTTTATACACTCCCAACATATACTCTCTCTCACATGTTTTTGATGTAGGCACATTTCTGTGAACCCACATAATAAAAATTAACCAATCCTTGTTTGCCACCTCAGAAAGTACAAGCAAGGGAGTAGAATTTGGGAGTTTGTAGAGTAGAACTCTTTGCAAAACTTGCAAATTTGAAAACCCCTTTCAATTATAAAAAAAAAAAAAAAGAGAAAGATAACATCATCTTGCCAATCTAAAATTGGCTAGGATAATCCCAGCCTAATCTTCTAATTCCTAACATTTCATCTTCTACATCCGATATTCTGTCGTCTCTCGTCCATGGTCTGCTTCTCTGACCTCCGACGCCAACAATCTCTTTCCTCTCCATACCTCACTCACAATCTATGGAGGATGCCCTCACTCCTGTCACCTAACATCAACCTCGCCAGATGCCCGGCCACGCCCTCAACCTGTCAGGAAAAAGGTAATACGTTATTTTTATTTTTTTTTAAAAATTTTTTATACTTGTAATTATATACTATTAATAATTCAATAATATGTTATTTAATTTTTGTATAAATACTACGAAATTTGATTTTCTTACAAAATTAGGATGGAGGCTTCATTCTGAAGAAGATTCTCTCTGGATACAAATAATGAAGGCAAAGTACATGCATCACAATAAAGATCCCCATACATGACAGCTGAAACCTGGGTGTTCAAATGCTTGGAAAGGAATTGTTCGTACATCTCCAACATTGATCAAAGGTTTGCGAAAACATGTTAGGAATGGGACCAGTTAACTGACAAGATCCCAATGGAAACTTTAATTTAGCTGCAGTATTAGCTGCGAAGATAGCTGGCTGCGGAGCACTCGCTAGGGACGATGCAGGCAGATGGATTAAAGGTATTACGTAGAAGTTCTGTAGAAACAGAGAGATTGCTAACCATAACAATATTTGTACATGGTAACTCAGTACAGAGAAGGTAAAAAAACAGAAGTTATCACACTTTCTGTTATAATGCCTATGATTGTTCTCATGGTGCGGAGACTGGAGATGGCTAACCTGAGAGGCTAGGAGATATTGAGGTATTGAGAGGGCAATTTTACAGCTGTTTTCGGATGGTTATTTTTGAAGCCTTTCGTTGTTTGTGGAGTACAATGTCTGACTATACCACCATTTATACTATATTTTATAATTGTTCATTATTAATTCCATTGGAGATTGAAGAGGCATAAATTGTGACTGTGGATATTCTCCACTAAATGTACAAATATTTTTATTTTTTTGAAAATTGATCTAAGATATGATAAATAAATGTTATGACTGTGTGGATTCCCAAATTATTAATTACTCCATATTAATTAGTAATAATAATCAGTTGTTTGCTTGTGAATGAACACTCACGTGCTGGCTGCAATTAGCGCCAAATTTGTGATTCTGCTTTATTATAATAGAAGATTATTATTATTATTATTATTATTATTATTATTATTATTATTATTATATACATTTTAAAAGTGAATTAAAATATATATAATATATAGAAAAATAGTGATAAATTAAAAACGTAGTAATACACCACTTTTGTTAGGAGTAGACATGATCGCGGTTCGGTTCTGATTCTGAACGACCCCGTTCACGATTTTAAAAAATGATAGACCAGTATTAGGGGTTTAAACTAAAATATATATATATATATATATATATATATATATATATATATATATATATATTTTTTTTTTCTATTTTTAAATAGTCAAAATTTAACAAATATTTTTATTTTTATTTTATATTTTTTATGATTTGTAATCTGAATTGACTGATTTCGAGCCAGAATCGGAGGTTCCAATTCTCAATTCTAATAAATCAGAACCAGAATCGTCTTCTAGTTTGGTTGTTACAGTATTTGATTCGGTTCAAATCGTACCGTAATCACTGTTAGTTAAGAGTTAAACTTGTAACAACGTAACTAAAAACTTAATTAACTTGGATGAGATTCTGACTATATAATTAAGGAATAAGGTTCAAATTGGCCACTGAACGTAACATGAAATTGCAATTAGGTCACTGAACGAAAAAACAGTGCAATTAGGTCACTAAACACTCCAAAAATGTGCAATTATGCCATTGAACACTCTAAATGTATACAATTTCACCGAATAACAGGTTACCTGCTTACGTGGCAGTTGAGTTGGCATTTTTAATAATTTTAAATAAATTATTATAATAATTAATTTTTTTTTTAAAAAAAAAGTAAAACGACGGTGGCCACCCCGTTGTTGTTGTTGTTTTTTTTTTTTTTTAATTATTATTAAAATTTATTAAAAATTATCTAAAAATTATTTAAAATGTCAATTCATCTGCTACGTAAGCATGTAATCTGTTAAAATTGATGGTAACCTGCTATCAAGTGAAATTACATATGTTTGAAGTGTTCAGTGACCTAATTTGACCAATTTGATGCTTATTTCTATAATTAATTTTGAATGTGAGAAAATATTGCATACTTGCGGATAACTTTAGGCATTATATCTATCTTGCTCGGCAGACTACAATCCTTTCCTTCTTATACCATCCCAACCTACCTCCCAACTACTCTCTTTCTCTGTTTTTACTTCACGCGCTCCTCATACTACACTTTTACTTTCCCTACTCGTCACGCACCCTGCATGCGCGTGGCACTTCTTTTCAACACAACTGCGAATTGCCCGATCAAATAGACTTTAGGTTCACAGTTGTAATCCTTGCTTGTACTCTCGGGTTTCTTCGTCTCCCTTCGATCGAAACGGTGATCCAAGTTTTCGGAAATAAAGAAAAATATAGAGAGAAAATATGAAAATTTTCGTGAAGACTCTAAAGGGTACTCACTTTGAAATCGAAGTGAAACCTGAAGATACGGTAATCTAATTTTGTCACATTTTATTTTATTTTATTTTTTAAAATTTTCTGATGATATATATGTGTGTGTATGTGCAGTTGTGTTTATGTGGTTGATAGGTTCTGGAGTTGAATTCTTTTGGTTTTTGATTGTTCTTAGTTGAATTGCTTGAGAGTTAGGGTTTTTGTGGATGATTAGACTGAAGTAAATAAGTAATGGGTGTGTTGGTATAGGAATTCGGATCAGTTTCGTTGAATTATAGCGTTTTTAGGATATTTGGATTCTTTATGGATTTAATGTATGGCTAATTCATGGAATTAGCTTGTTTAATGTTGGTTTTTTAGTGGGACAAGTGAATTTGAAGTTCATGGACTGAGATTGGGGCTTTTATAGTTTTTTGATTGTTTTGTGAAGTTTTTCCTTTTTTCTTAATTTTTGTGTTCCACTGCTTCTAAACTGAGAGAAAGCTGTGGTTTATCAATTTTTGATTTAGGATATTAAAGATATTTACACTTAAGTTTGGCATTCATGTTGGCATTGGAATCTGTACATTGCATATGGTTTATGGATCAGGATCTCTCCTGAAGTTTGACTTTTAACTTTTATCATGTCATACTTATCTTTCTTTCACAGTTTTTGCTTGCTCAGTGTCTAATTAACCTAACCACGCTTATATAAGGCCTTCATTAAACTCATCTTATCAGACTCGTTATGCATGACTTATTAACACTTTACATGATACGGTTGATAATTTGTGTTCTTCACTGATACTACCACTAGCTAGGGAAACTAAAGCTATTTAGGTAGGTGTCAAAGGTAGTGACTAGTATGTGGAATCTGTATAATCATAGTTAAATAAGGAAATGCACAGGTATAAAAGCTATTGATAGACAGTTGATGTTAAAGGATTTTGACTTGTGAGAGGAAAACTTGAGTAAATGTAGTTGCGGTCTAAATGAGGGAAAGGTATGAAGAGTCAGTAATTATGATGATGTGATTTAGGCATTATGGCTAGATTATTCACAATGACAGTGGTGGACTGGTGGTTGAGGCACACTTGCCCAAAACAATTGCTTCATCGCTAAAGCGATGAAGTGATTGCCAGCGACAAGTCTTCGCTTCGGCAGATATGCACTAAAGTGGACCAAAGCTAGTGAAGCAAAATAGTTGGTAAAGGTAACGCCTTTCTATAAAAAGGCGAAGTCAACGGATCATCACTGAAAAATTAGAGCTAACATAAGATTACCTTGTACACTATCTTCTTTTTTCTTCATCCATCTTCTGCCACTTTTCTTCTTCTGCAATGCAGTTCACTGTTCATGTCTTTTTCATCTAGTTTTTTTTTTTTTTTTGACATTTTCTTCTCACTTCATCTCAGTCTCTGCGGGTTTTCTCTGATGAATGCACTGGGAACTCTCTGTAGGCAGAGGGTTATACCCCTTTGTGGAATCTCTCAAGTGGGGGGATATTTCATACTGCTGGTCTTGCCTGAATCATGATGTTAAATGTTATTTCTAAGCAAAATTTGGCTTTTTAGGTTGCTGATGTCAAGAAGAGCATAGAAACTGTTCAGGGATCGAATGTTTATCCTGCTTCACAGCTGATGCTTATCCACCAGGGAAAAGTTCTTAAAGATGGCACCACATTGGAAGAGAATAAAGTTGCTGAAAATAACTTTGTTGTGGTGATGATGGCAAAGGTAATTTTGAGTTCTGTTATTAATGTTAAACTGTAAACCCATTCTTTTCTTATTCTTTTATGTGCTTATTTATTTATTTTGTCTGTGGTATTTTAAGACTAAGAGCTCATCTGGAGAAGGCTCAGCATCGAGTACAGCTACCACTAAGGTTTGGAACACTATGTTCTCTTTTTTTTACATCTCCATTTTCTCTGTGCTAGCTGTGAGTAGTAACAGTATTTTGCTACTTGCTTCGACTGAAGTCTAATTCTTTTACAATAAAGCGCTTAAGGGGCATTGTGATTTTATCGGTGGTTAATTTTCTCCCCCTTAGGGCACAGTAGCTTCTACTTTTCTTTTCTTCTTTTGTTGTTTTATCCTATTTTATTTTGTTGTGATCAATAAGATAAAAGATCTTATTATGACTTGCTAACAAGTAACAATGCTTCTACTTAGTGTGACAACTTTATCACCTTTGTTGACACTGCAGACAATTGCACCTGCTAGCTCAACTTCTGCATCAACAGCTCCAGCTCCAGTTCCTGCCTCAGCTCCAGCTCCAGTTCCCGCCTCAGCTCCAGTTCCGGTTGCTGCCCCAGCTCCCACTCCGGCACCAACTGCTGGGTAAATCTCAATCTTCATGTGCTGGATATCGGTTTTTATTTCATCTATATGTATATATCATGGTTGCAGTATGCGCTAGGCGCTAGTCGGGCAGCTCGACCGCGCCTAGCACCTAGGCGGAATCTAGGCGGGTGTCAAAAAAACAGTGGCAGACTTGCAGTTTGACAATTTTAATGAGGCTGTTTTCGCATTCAAAAAAAAAAAAAAAATGAGGCTGTTTTCAACATTAAATCAAATAACACATCCAAATAAATGAAATAATGATAATTCATAAGTCATAACATCAAAACAATATTAAAAATTAAAAATACTCAAATACTTCAATCATCCAAAGATTCAAAGTATCAAACTAGTCTACGGGTGTATATATGTCATATTATATATATCTATATATATATATATATATATATATATATATATATATATATATATATATATATATAATAATAATAATAATAATAATAATAATAATAATAAAATTAGCAAGGCCAAGCTGATCGAGTTAACTCGACCGAAATGGACAAGTTAACTCGGCTAAGTTAGACGCTTGGCGGCCAAGTCGACCGAGTTAGGCGCTAGGCAGATGCCTAGGCGGCCGGTCACCTAGACGGGCGCCTAGGGGGGAAATCGCCACGGTCTAGGGCCCCTAGCGCCTAGGCGGGGCCTAGGCGCCGCCTAGACTGATTTTTGCAACAGTGGTATATATATCAAACTTGTGAATGAATTGTCTGATGCATTCAATATGCAGGTCAGGAGATGTGTATGGTCAGGCAGCTTCCAACTTGGTTGCTGGGAACAACCTTGAGGGAGCAATCCAGCAGATTCTTGACATGGGTGGGGGAACCTGGGATAGGGAAACTGTTGTTCGAGCCCTTCGTGCTGCTTATAACAATCCAGAGAGAGCTGTTGAATACCTGTATTCTGTAAGTCTCCTCACCCTGTTTTGATTTTTGCATGTGAATATTTCTGCCCTCTTGTTTCTATATGCACATATTAGAGCCTACAACATTACAGTTTAATTGGATTACTGCAATATTCTTTTCAGGGCATCCCTGAGTCGGCTGAAGTTCCTCCGGCCGAAGGAAACCCCCCTCCTGTTCTGCAGCCTCCTAACCAGGCAGCTCAGCCTCAGCAAGCTGCACAACCGGCACCTGTTCCGTCTAGTGCACCGAATGCAAATCCTTTAGATTTATTCCCCCAGGTATATTGAAGATGCTTTTATGTCTATCCTCTGTATAGTGGCTTCTAACCTTTTCTTTTTGCAGGGTCTTCCCAACATTCCTTCCTCCAACGCTGGTGGAGCCAACACCTTAGAATTTTTACGCAATAGTCAGCAAGTATAATCTGTTACTCTTATTCTACTTTTCCTATTTCTCATGCTCTCCGTGCTTGTCACCTATCATTCCTTCCTCATGCTAGGAATAAAGGAAAACATTAGCTAGCTAATGCTTTTTTACTACTATTTTGTTCTCAGTTCCAGGCCTTACGAGCAATGGTTCAGGCCAATCCACAAATCTTGCAGGCATGGCTTTCTCTTACAGAATTCATCTATTAACTAGTTTATTCATGAGGCTAAATATATATACGTGTAATTTGTGTTATGTTTGGCAGCCCATGCTTCAGGAGCTGGGGAAGCAAAATCCTCATTTGATGAGGCTCATACAGGAGCACCAAGCTGATTTTCTTCGTCTTATCAATGAGCCAGTTGAAGGAGGAGAAGGGTACTTTTGACTATTATATTAGCTTTTATATTTGATGAACTCACTCTCTGTCTACAGACTAATTGTTCTTCTCTTGATTTTAGCAACATATTGGGGCAGCTTGCTGCGTCAATGCCTCAAGCTGTACAAGTAACTCCCGAGGAGCGTGAAGCAATAGAACGTGTAAGTGGTTGCGCTTAGCCTTGATTATGCTTTCTTTGATTTCCTCTGGAGATTCTTTTGATGGTTTTCGTTTTCCTTTCGTCGGGGGTGTATGGATGGTACTTCACACCTAGCTGTGTTAAACCTTCATTTGGATTGTTATTTTATGCTGCTGATAGTTTTTAGCAGTGTTGCAAAAATCGCATCGGCGCCTAGGGGCTAGGCGGTCGGCCTCCTAGGCGCCCTAGGTGGTCCCCAGGCGCGTTGAGGGCGCCTAGCGATTTTTTCAACATTGGTTTTTAGAGCCTCCTCCTCAGTCCTCTAGGCACCAACCACTTCAATAAGCCTCATGAAGTGAAATTATTGTGTGTACTTATTTACGCACTTTTGCAGCTTGAAGCAATGGGATTTGATCGAGCACTGGTGTTAGAGGTATTCTTTGCATGCAACAAAAACGAGGAGCTAGCAGCTAACTACCTCTTAGATCACATGCACGAGTTTGAGGATTGATGTGGGAAAATAGAAATGTTGAGTCGGACCAATTTCGTCTGTGGGCACAGCATGCATGCATAATAGCCGCCATTCACATCGTGTCAAGTGCTAGATAAGAGGGACATTTGAAGAAAAAGAATGTAACTATGTTGTCTTTGTTTAGAGTTTTAATCTCTCAGCCCCACCCCCTGTGTTTAATTTGACGACTTGCAGTCTAGCGCATTGATATGGTTGGAACTATATAAGCGTTTTTAGTTTGTAGGGATATTTCTACTCGAAACTCGACTTTAATGTTGGACTCCGGAGTTTGCACAGATTGCTTTTATATGCACTTTCAACATTTTTATCGTTTTATAACCTATTATTTACAAGTTATTTCTCTCTCTCTCTCTCTCTCTCTTGCTTTTGGATATTGAAAAAGAAAACAATAAAAAGGTCATTAGTATGCTGATAGCCTAATAGTATTATGTGATAACATTCACGAAGTAGTTATATTGCCAATAAATTTAGGCCGCTAACGAACAATGTAGGCCAAAGCTTAGAACAGAAGATGGAACTACATCATGGGAAAATAGTTCAAAGCTTTAGATGGTTTAACTACATCTTAGATGCATTTGTGGCCAAACAAACACTTCATGGTCGACATATTTACGATGAATGTTGTATTTTAGACATTAAATATCATTACTTGGTATTGTTAAAGTCTGTTTGTAGAGAATTACAAGATTCTCAAGATTTGTGGCCAAATCATAAATATTTATTGCCTTCCTTCAAAAACTTTGACAAAACTCTGTAAATGTCTCTCCTTGCACCCAAAGGAAAAAAGCAAAAGAAAAAAAAATAATGAAAAAGTACACAGGATACATTGTAGCAAAATATTGCTAGAAATGAAGAACCATTATCTTTCAATCAATCTTTCTTTTCTAAGCCCAAATAGTCTGGTTGGCATGGCAGTAAAAAGATACTTGATCAGTCTCTATACTCACCATCTACATTGTCAAACTGTCAGGGTTCTCGACAATCTTTGAAAACGTTTGAAGGAAGGCAGCCAAGTCAGCACCGTAGATGATTCGGTGATCAGCTGTGACATTTACCTATAATTTTTTTTTGGCATTTCAGTTCAGAGTAACTTAAAGAAAGTAGCCATGACATAATGAAATCTTAAGGCATATTTGCATACAAAAGTAAAATAAATTGGATTGAAACAAGGTGTTTAAATCATGTTTTCCTAACAAAGTATGTCAAAGTTTTCTAGTTCTTGACTTCTTTGCATTACAGCTGTAATTTCTCTTTACTTTAATTTTAATTCAATCGAGTCCCACGACTCCCACCCCATCGTGGGGCGGTTCGAGGCTGACCTGCTATCTTCAGCCCACTTTGACACCTCTAATTTTTTTTTTGTCAGGCCGGGACCCTAACTGTAGGAGACACCTTTAAGCCCGTACCATACTCAGACTAATCCCTGTTCGCACCGGGCCGGCCCAATTAGGGGGCAAAGTGCTGGCCAAATTGGTTTTTCCATACGAATGGAAACCGTTGGAATGGATTGGCAGGGGCAAGTCTGTAACCTAGGGAAAGGTAACCTTTATCATACTATAGGCTTACTCTCATCCACCCAATATTAGTTGGTCTAGTTTAAGTACTTAGCGCTAATTTACAGGCTCACTTCCACACTTCAAACCCACGTATTAGAACCAGAAGTGGCAGTAAAAGTTATCAAAGAAGGTAAAGAGTAATTGATGATAATACAGATAGACAGATAGTAGACACATACCAGCATCCTGTTTTTGACGCTAAAGAATCCGTCAGCATCAGTAACAACAGTAGGTTTTGATGCTCCAACAGCCATAATAGCTCCCTGAACACCATTAAGTTGTTTAAAATTAGCTGCTAGTTTGTACGGGCATAATAACTTTCATGACCACAAACCAAAACATTGCTGGATATTGTTCTAATACCTGGCCTGGAGGAAGAATAGCATCAAATCTATCCACACCAAACATTCCCAGGTTTGATAATGTGAAAGTCCCTGAATTAAAAACAATAATAATATCCAGTCGGTCATGTATTAGCAGATAAAATAGTAAGTTGCCGATCAAATGAATCGCAGCAGGTACCTGTACTATACTCGTGTGGTTGAAGTTTTTTAGCCCGAGCCTTCTCTACCAGTTCCTTCCACTTTTGAGACAACAAATACAGGTCCAACTACACCATCACAAGACACTTCATAAGAATTAACAATAAATTGAACAGCTTTCTCAGGTGAATTATACACGATCCAGCCAATGTAAATCGATTAAAGTTTCTGCTTTTGAATTGAAAGAAAATCGCGTACCTTGTCAGCATCCTCAAGTACAGGGGTTATCAATCCGCCATTAATAGACACTGCAACAGCAATATTTATGCTGCTATTGTAAGTAAAACACTTCCCGTCCTTGCAAGTTGCATTCACAACCGGATGTTGAGCCAATGCCATCGCTGCAGCTTTGGCTAACAATGCGGTCATAGTGACTCCCTTGGACTTAACCTGATATTCATTCAATTCCACATGATCTCAAATCTCAATATCTAATTCTGATAAACATGAACCATATTGCACTCCTATTGAACTTAATAAATACACTTACTCTATCCCATTTTACCTGTCCTATTTACGATTCATTGGTCAAACAAACTCTTCCTTCTTTGTTTATTTTCTTTAGTTTCTAAATATATAAATTTTGTATACTAATACTAAACTCAATATTATGAAAAATTAAATTAAAATACCTTAATTCAAGCCTAGCTAACCGAACCGAATCAAACACATAAAATGGACCAAAGAAAGCATAGATTTCAAGAAATAAAATCAAAGAACTAAAAGAACTCTGAAAACCAGTAATTTGAAGCAATGTACCTTCGCATAGAGAGCATCAAGGGCATCAGTAGAAATGGGATACCCAACACGAAAAGTGGGTACAGAGAGGCTATCTAACATGTTCTTGGAAACCGCAGCCTGCATTGCTGTGAAAGGGACGACTGTCGAGCCTGGAATCTCAGGATAGCTTGATGGGGAAGTTTTAGCAGGGGACGGAGCAGCAGGAGCGGCAGCCTGAAGAGGCGCAGCGGTGCTCTTCTTAGGTGTAATTCCGGCAGCTTTCTCTACATCCTCCGCCGTGATTCTCCCGAAGGGCCCAGTCCCTGCCACTTTATTGATGTCAATTCTGTGTTGTTTTGCAATCTTCTTCGCATACGGTGTTGCAACTATCCTCCTCGGCCCCTCCGGAGCCGCCGCAGGCGGCGGAGGTGGAGCTGCAGCTTCAACTTTGGGAGGGGGAGAATCAGTGGAAGCCTCAGTACTAGGCGGAGCTGATGAGCCAGAACCAACGGATAGGGCTTTAGCTTTGGCCTCAGCGATTTCGTCCTCAGTCTCGGCTAAAAGCCCGATCGGAGCCCCGACCGGAGCTGTCTCGCCGTCGTTAACAACAATAACTGCCAAAATGCCATCATAAAAGGTCTCCACATCCATATCCGCTTTGTCCGACTCAACCACCACAACCGACTCGCCTTTGGAGAGCACATCGCCCTCGGACTTCACCCACGAAACGATCTTGCCCTCGGTCATGGTGGAGCTAAGCGCCGGCATGAAGATCTCGCGGATCTTCGATTGAATAGCAGGGAGGCTGCGCCGCCGCATTCTGGTAGGAAACGCCGCGGAACTGAGGCGCCGGAGGGGCTGAGCAGAGGAGACGGAGGAAGAGAATGAGAGAGCTGGAGACTGGGATTGAAGGAGCGACGCCATGGGAGAGTTGTGGGAAGGGAATGCGAAGCTCCGGTGAGTGTTAATTGCAGTATTGGTGAGCAATGAGAAATTGGTATATGGAGAGTGAAGAGGGAAAATGGGGGCGGAGAAGACGAGGGAGACTCAGTTTGAGCAATCCGCCAGTTGTGGAAATGTTAACAAAAATAAAGTTCGTTGGGCTAACTCATGAAAACTTTTTTTTTTTTTGGGTGATACATTAGTTTTCATTGTTTATGACTTTATGCGGAAAGAAGTAAATTGCCAGTCAGGAGTTTCATTACCTATTATTGATCTAAGGTTTTTCAATGACCATTCAAGTTTTTAATGAGATATTGGACCAAGCACTAGTGCTCGAGCAAGGTTTTAGGGTGGCCAGTCAAATTGAACTAGTCTCGTAAAATGAATTTTTTCTTTCTTTAACACAACTCAACTTGTAAACTAATTTAAAATAAGTTTATAAGCATAAAAACAAATTATATCATGAACCATAATTCACATTGCATCATGAACCACGCTTCATTATTATACTAGCTACTATAAGTTTAATTATTAAAAAATGTCATTAATTATGATTTATTATTATAACAATAACAACACGTTTGGTTCACGGAATGAATTTGGATGGAATATGAATGTTATTCCATAAGAAATGAAATATGTAAGGAATAGAACATGAATTGTATTATATTGTTTGGTTCGCTGGAAGAATAAACTTTAGGAATTGTATTCCAACGTTTGGTTGGTTAAAGAAATAGAAACAGAATATATATTTAAAAGACATAAATACCCTTATACAAAATAATAAGAATATTATTATTATTATAATTATAATTGAGAGCTTAATTCCCATAATTCACGAAAATCAACAATTGAGAGCTTTGGAAGATTCACGAAAATTCCCAGAATTCGTCGTTGGTCCCTCTTCCGACAATTCAAGAAGGCGATTGTGGAACGGATAGCATGGCTGGGGTCGCCTCTTCACCGCGATCCATCGCAGATGGTTTGATCAATAATCGACCGCCGGTGAATCTTTCGGACGTTGCTGCGCAACCGGCGTCTTCCTAGCGTACAGAGGCGGAGGACCAACAGCGACCGCCGGTGATGGCATTGGCTCGTCTGTGGCTGTAGTTTTTACCGGTTTGGGTTCAATTCGACAGCCCCTAGTCGGAACCCTAGCTCCGGCTGCCGGTAGTTCACTGGCTGTTACGGTTGTGGGTGTCGCGACTTCCCAACCTGCGTTGCGTTCGGAGGCTCCGTCTGGTAAAGATGGTTCCGGAGTAGTCTCTAGCGTGGGCAGGGGATTGCAACGAAGATTGGGAGATTGTGTATTGGCGAAACGGAGAACATCCATGGCGGCCTGGGAGTGGTCAAGGGTAAAAAAGAAAATATAATAAAAGACCTATTTTTGAGAACTCAGTAATAGGTTAATACCGGGGGTGGGGGTGGGGCAGTAATAGGCTAATAGCTAATTCCCCTGTAGAGGGAACAGGAACATTGTTCCTGGGAATACAAATGGTTACCAAACAGAGGAATAAGTCTATTACTGGGAAGCCATTTCAGACCTATTCCGTGAACCAAACAGCCCATAAGGGGAAATGGTCAAATAGGCCATCGAATTTTAATTGAAAAGTCAATTAGCCCTATAAATTTTTTAAAGGTGCAATTACACCCATCAACAATTCATTTTGACGCAATGAAGCCCCCAAAAATCAGTTAATCATCCTCCCGCAAAATTTTAGGCAAATGTGACTATTACTTGAAGAGTGGAGAAAGAACCTATGGGGTGATGAACGTGATCTCAATCAGGGGTGTTAGCGAACAGAGCTTTCGGTAACTACTCGTGATGTTCAGGTTCGTAAGTGTTCGTTTACCTTTAATTTAGAGCTTAGTTCATAAACGAACAGAGTCTGAACAGTTGTAGACACGCTTGCTAAGAGCTCGTGAATAAGCTCGTTTGTGTTCATTTAATAATATTCATGAACAAGCTCGTTTAGTGTTCATTTAATAATGTTCACGAACAAACAGTTATAGTTGTGTTGTTTGTTTGGTTATATTTTGTGAACATAGATTTCTTCTTGTTCATGAACAAATTATGATCATCAACATGTACATGTGTTTGGTTATTAAGGGTTCATGGACGTGTTTACGAATATGTTCGCAAACGTTAACGAACATTAATGAATGCTTAACAAACGAACACTAATGAACGCTTAGCAAACGAACACAAACATGATTTTCAAAAATATTATGTGTCAGCAATTATCAAGTCAAATTCTGTATCTATAGTTGACACATTCTGTACTGCAGTTGATAGTTCTGTACATGCAACTATCATATTAGTTTACATGTACATAAAATGTTAACTGTAGGTACATAATGTGTTAACTGAAGATACAAAATTTTTGTATTAGGATTCACAGCAATATGAAGCCTGGTCCATGGTATAACAATTTACCTAGGACAACTTGTTAGGATACAAATTTGTTAAACATATAAATAAACATCATCAAAATCTTTTAAGTACACTTAATAGAAATAATATCTAGCTAGGTGATTGTGGATTCAAAATTTGTATAATTTTTGGTACATATGGTGGGGATGATATAGATAAAATTCGAATTTAATTAGATCTATTGTTAAAAAAAGAAGTATATATAGCTAGCTTACCAATCATCTAAAATGATATTTGCAAGAAAAGAATAACCTGGTTATTGCAGATTTGCAGGAATATTGTCTTGGCATGTTGGGGTTAGTTGTGTGTTTCTTGGTCCATTATTATAGAAAGCCAGGCAAGAGAAGTTAAGGTTGCCAATCCGAGGCCGTTTCTTTACCTTAACACATTCAGATTCCTTATTGAGACACAGCCATATCTTAATGTCTTTCAATTCTGTGACCATTATTTTCAACAAAATCCTAACTATAAAACCTTCCCATTTCCATCTACTTCCTTTATATTATTGTGAATCAAATCAATCACCCTGTCGTTAATCTGGGTTCTTCTCAATCCTCCGAATTAATGCCTAGTCAGGTAACGATACTATGATTTCATGGTTTCCACTTCTTAATGAGATTAGTTCCTTCATCCTTCTGATCTATAACTAACCTAAATTTGGGCTAATCAATCATTTTTTGTTTTTTACTGGTTTCACGATAATAACAGGTATGTTGCATGGAGATGAGGATTAATCTGGACTGTCCAGCTTGTTGCAAGAAAATGAGACGAGTCCTGCTCAAAATCAAGGGTAGGTACCCTTTAATTTGCTCATACCATGGAGCATTAACGTTGCATGCATGGGGTAATAATATTTTTGTTTTGTAACTTTTTGAACAGACCCGTTAGTCTAATGGTATTACTCAAGTCTCAAGGGGTCTGCTGAACCCATCAACGGGTTCAATAGACTGGTTAAATAGACCATTGATCCAACGGTACTACTCAACAGGTTTGTTAAACTTGTTGAGGAGCCTGTTGACCGATCAAATTGTCCTTTCTTATTTATTTTTTGCCTTTAGAGTGTGGATTTGTTCTTTAATTTTAGCGAATGCATAAGTAAATCTCAACTGTCTAATCCCTAATCTCAATAGTTTAAATCAATTTAATTCATAGGTTCTAGCCTAAGAGGTGGTTCACAGTATTTGGCATTTGGTTTTGATATGCAACTAAAAGTATGTTTAATAAGTTTTATTTCTTTATTATTATTATTATTATTATTATTATTATTATTATTATTATTTTATTTTTTTATTTTTTTTTTTACATTTTTTTGAAGAAATAGAGACGCATATGATAGAGAGGCAAGAGTGCAGAGTATGCGTGTGTGGCAGATTCGATCCAGCAGAAGTAGCAATAAAGATAAGGAAGAAAATGAAGCGTAGAGTAGAGATAATTGATGTTCAGCTATTCAATAACCAGGAAGAAGAAGAAGAAGAAGAAGCCCAGCAAATGCAAGCCATCGCTCAGCCTGCGTAAATAGCTTTTCTTATATACATATCAATGGTGATTGGTTGGTTATAGCATTTCATTTTATTTATTTTTTTATATTTTTTTTTCATTCTATGTAGTTTATTTATTTATTCTTGTACTAATTAATTAGTGTGAAGTCTAGACTTTACTTGGGTGATTGTCTAATTTAAAAGGAATAAGGGTCAAATAGGTCATCGAACTGTACCAAAAAATGCAATTAGGCAACCGAACTTTAAAAAGTTACAATTGGGTCCCTGAACTAACCAATTTCATTCAGTTAGTCCAATTTGTAAGTTTTTCAAATGGTTAACAGGTCACCCCTAATTTAAAATATATTTAAAAAATTATTATTATTTAAAATATTTTTTTTTTTGAAAACATTTAAAATAATTATTAAAAAAAAAAAAGAAGAAGATATCGTCTCGGGGACGAAAAAACCTTCTACGTCTCTAGCTGGAGACGAAGAAAAGTTATCTTCGTCTCCATGACCGGAGACAAAGAGTTTCTTCGTCTCTGGCCGGAGACGAAGGAACTTTCTTCGTCTCTGGCCAGAGACGAAGAAATTATCTCCGTCTCCATGGCCGGAGATGAAGAAGGATTTTATCACAGTATAGTCTAAAGATGACGTATAGTAGATGCTTATATCATCAAGCAGCAAGGATGTATAACTAACAACAAGAGTTATTCAACACAACAAGACCTTGAGGGTGATAACATTAAGTACAACTCAGGTGTCCCTAAACGTTGCACACGCCAAGGCACATTTTCGCACACACCACCGTAAGTACAACTCCGATGTCCAAGAAAACAAACGCGTAGTACTATTACAATCTTCTTCTTTAAAAACAAACCATATATTTGCCTACACGCACACACATAATAACAATTTAGGTTGCACTACAAATAAACAAAAATTTCAAATTGCCCTCTAGGCAAATTTGCACACGCCAGCTCACACACACACACACACACACCAACGTAAAATAATTTTTTACATTGCTTCTGCATTCTTAAATTAAGTTTTAGTATATATATCAAAAAACGTGGATCATTCATGGTCACACTTAGTAACAATTAGTTTTACCCAAAACCCAAATTCAACGAATAAAAAAAAATTATAATAACACCGTCATGTCAAGACCGCTTTTAAATAACTCGCACCCCATGTTGCACATATACGCACACACCACCGTACATTACCACTCTGGTGACAACCAAGGAATAGTACATTTACAATCGTTTTCTTAACAACAAAGCATAAACAAAAAATCACGCAAACACATATTATTAATGTTCGTTTTTAAAAAAAATAAAAAATAATAACAATGCCCCCATCCCTAAGCTTTGCACACGCCGAAATACATATTCGCACACACCACCGTAATTTCAACTCCGGTGTCCAAATATAAAAAAAAAAAAAAAACCAAAAAAAAAACAACACGTAGTACTCTTACAATCTTCTTCTTTAAAAGCAAACCATATATATGAATTCACGCGCACACATATAAACTATTTTCTTCAAATTACACACACAAAAAAAATCCATTCATAAGAAATGCACACGCCATACTACACACACACACAGTGACGCACACACCGTTGCACATAATCAACTATAAACTCATTACATACTTTAGACACGTTGATTTTTTTCTCAGCTCTCAATACAAATTATTACTAGTTATTACCTTTAACATTCCACCTAATATTATGCTCAAGATTTCAATTGAATCTTAACCAAAAATAAACTCAATACTAGAATTACTTTTTAATCCTTATGTTTTCAAAATGTCCTTAATTAGTTTAAAGGAATCTTTCAATTTAAATCATCCATGAGAATGTGTTAATAGATGTAATGAGATTTCATGATCTCATATATCATGGTGGTCTCACTCAAACCGCAGCATATATATATATATATATATATATATATATATATATATATATATATATATATATATATATATATATATATATATATATATATATATATATATATATATATATATATATATATATATATATATATATATATATATATATATATATATATATATATATAGACACACCTACACATGATATATTTGTTGGGTAATATGGTGGAAAATCCCAAAATAATAATAATCCTACAGAAATATTAATATTATATGGGAAAACAGAAAAATTGGGAAGGAAAAGGTTGAGTGTTTGGGTAGGGATTTAGCACGAGTTCGAACACGAAGTTCTTTTCCTTAAAACCTTATTTGCTACCTCCCACAAGTGCTAGGAGCGTTGTACCCTAGGTTTCCCAGGATAAAACGTGCCACGATTCCTTGTTTAAGCACCTAAACAAGGAACCCGGCAAACAAAACAAAGCTGGAACACAGATTGGCTAAAGAAGAGAGAGAAGCAGAAGTTTTGAGATGAAAAGTTACTGGAATTCCCTTGTTTCTCACTGTGTGTAAAATGCTACTGCTCTACCTCTCTTTATATAGGCATGTTGGAGTGATAGCATTCAACATGGCCATTAAATTGGTGTTAAAACCAATTGTGTAACACCTGTAACGGTCACCACTAAGTAGGATTAAACTCAGAATTTAAAAATTGGAATTAAAACAGTATTAATTCCGTAACAGATGAGTTTAATCTTCTGCACTTTCGGGTTTCAGACCGTTGGGGTGCACGAGAGTGTGCTGTGGTACACCACGAGAGTACACCTCTCGTGCTATGGTGCAATACGAGAGTACACCTCTCGTGTTCACCGTTGCACGAGAGTTTTGCTCCCGGTGCACCACAACCTCTCGTGCTCTCTGTAGCACGAGAGTGGTGTTTTCGGTTTTGGCCGAGCCATGCACCACAACCTCTCGTGCTCCAGAGAGCACGAGAGTGGTGTTCTCGGTTTTGGCCGAGCCAAGTGACTATAACAGAAGTTAGGCATAACTTAGCCCGCAAGGCCAGCCCATTTTCGGAAGACATTCGTGCCCACAGGTGCCGGACGCACAAGAGAGCCTCTATGCTATACAATTCTACAAGCTTGAAAAGAGCTCATGTATATAAGGGGGGCAAATCTTGTTTCCAAACCAATGTGGGACTAAGTCCTACATTTTCCCTTCATTTCCCAACTTAAATGGGTCTACTTTGAGAATCAATATCTCATTCACCCATTATCCGTTTTGAGCGTACAATATATCAATCTCTTCGTCTTACTACGAAGAATCCGAATCCACTTTGACCCGACCCAAATCGGAAGTGGACCCCACTGATAATTGTACCACAAAATAGCCACTTAATATGCCATTTTAAGCTAATTTTTCCAACAATATTTAATTCATGGGCAGCTATTGACGATCATTTGGCTATACTAAATTGTTTCATTTGTTTGTGACATGGGAATAAAATATATATTATCAAAGACTTGAATTACATTGGCGGTCAAAGCTAAGTAATTTAACTAAAGTAGCTTTAATTTACCAGACCCAGACATGGGAAGAAACATTATTATTACTGGTTAGTTGTATATATAGATGACATCAAAAGAGTTGAAAATGCAAGAAGATTGTTAGAAATACTTATTTCTTAACATTAAAAAAGTCCAATGGAAAAGGTTATGTGTTTCCTAAAGGAGGTTTTACATTCTTAAAAAAAAATTTATTCCTAAAAGAAGGTTTTACATTCCTAAAAGCTTTTTTTTTTTTTTTTTTTTTTTTTTTTTTTTTTGAAAACATTCCTAAAGGGTTTTTTATTTAAGGAAGTTTTCCATAGCTCTAGAAAAAGGATTCTCATCACATTTATAAATACGTTGAAAAATTCTAGGGATTATTAAAGTTTTCTAGTCAGTCTCCATATCGTCTTAAGGCATACAGATCAGGGAGGAGGTGAAACATTCTTGATTTATTCAATTTAGAAATTACATCTCCAATAATGGAATCAAGTAAGTTCTATATTTTCTATTTAATCAAAAGTTTATGATCATGAATATTGTTTAATTAGTTGATTAATTTTATTTACATATGATTCATTGTTAATTGTGCTTCCGCATTCAAGTTATAGCGTCAACTGCAAGAGAGAAAGAAAGCTGTTTAATTTGTGTTTATTTCATTCTCCCAAAGGCATGGAGTTTATGATAAGCAAAGTAGCACAACGTGTGGGAAACCACGCGAGCCTGATTGTTGGGATCAAGGATGAGGTGTTAGAACTGGTGAGCGAACTGAGGTTGTTCAAGGCATATCTCACTCAGAACGAGAGGTATAATGGCAACGCTGTGGTGAGAGACGACGTGTTGTGGAAGATTCAGGAATTGGTATACGATGCTGAAGATGCCATTGATAAATACATTGTTGAGCAAAGGAAGCACAGAGCCAGACCGGTCCTCAAGAGATGGGCGAAAAAAATCAGTTATTATATCATGGTTAATGGTGCTGCCAAGGAGATCGAGAGGATTAAGAAAAGGGCCGAGAAAATGCGTCTAGACTATATATGTTTATTGATCTATATAACATTGTTAGTTTTAATATTTCTATCTCCATTTGTAAAATAGAGATTTGACAACATTAGAGATTTATTGCAACAATAGAATGTTAGGGAATAAAATCGTTAGCAAGGAACAATTAAGGGACTAAAATTGTGTTTTTATCTTTAAAAAAAATGTAATTTATATTGTGGACCGTTGTTCAATATACAGGATTTTACTTCATAAAGTATAGAATTCATGTTCATAATGCACAGAATTATATAGCTGAGGACACATAAACACTTAACATAATATACAGAATTCATGTTCGTTATATCGTGTTTATGTGTATATGTATTATGAACATGAATTATGTATCTTATGAAGTCAAATTCTATGTATTAAACCAGGATCCATTGTAAAAAAAAAAATTGCCTAATAAGAAACTGGGCTATTGTGTTGGCCCGCTACCCCGCCCTAAAAAAAAAAAAAAAAAAAAAAAAAAAAAAAAAAAAAAAACTATATCTTCATTCTCCAACTCCAATGAACATCTATTAAATGATTAATTACTTAATTAAATTTATTTTACAAATGGAATATCAAAACTAAATAAGATTATAATTAAGGGAGAAACATTTAAAAATACTAAAATATATATGTACTAAGTAAAATTTCAATAGAGTTTAATAGTTTTGTTGCTCCGATCCAGAGGTTAAAACTGTAACTTTTTTAAAAATTTAAG